GCCAATAAATCAAAAGAAAAGTCATTTCCCAAAATAAACCTAAATAAGCTCATAGAAAAAATAATACTAAAGATATTAGTTTATTTGGTGCAATTCTAACTTTTTTTTAAACTTTTCTAATGTTATTTTAGAGTGATTATAGTGATTTTTTTTTGAGAAATTAATTTTCCAAATGAAATAAGAATTTTTTAGTAAAATAATTTTTTTTTAGCCAATAAATTAATTTTTTAATTCCAACCAAACAATAGTTTTAAAAGAACGGATAAAAGCAATTCTAACTGTGTTACACTTCATGCCAATTTTAAAATAATTTCAAAATTCACCTTCAATAGTGTGTCATATTTCATATTAAACTAAATTATAGCAATGTTAATACATGTGCTAAAGTTGAAACATTTGGACAAAAAACAAATTTTGCAAAAGTTATTCCCTATCTCTTCCGTGATGAGATTTACAAAAGATATTTATGTTTAGTTTTTTTGCGATTTTTTAAATATATATATATATATATAATATTTGTAATCTATGTAATTTTTTTTTTTTGGGTATCAATTTAGTTTCTATAATTCTAATTATATCAATTTATAAATCTTTTTCACATTAGTCTAATTAACATTTAGTAAAACATTGAATGAAAATTAGGTATAAGTAATCAACTCAAAAGGGTATGTACCCTTTCAAATTAGAAGTCAACTTTTTTTTTTTAAACTTTAAAGAGAATAAGTGAACTATTTTGTACTTTGATTTTAGTCCTATTTTTAAAGTGCTACTTTATCAATTGAGTTAAATTAACATAATATAAAAAATATAAGGTAAAATTGATGTGATTAAGGGTTGGTTTAGAATATCAAAAAAATTTAAAAAGTTAAAAAGTTACTAAAAAAGTTAAAAAGTTATTACTATTCACAAAAAAAAAAATGATTTTACACATAAATTATTACAACACAGTCTGAACCGTCCCACAGACGGTTGCTGAGTTGCTGAAATGATTTGGAAAAATTACACAGGCGGGGTGCACAAACAAGGTGCGCAAAAACAACACAGTGATGTTTGGCCCGTGGAGGCCCATCATAAGTCCCGTTTTGATAATTTGAACCGTTAATATGTAGAACTCGTTGAGTACTATAGATTTGTAAAAAATCACGTTGATCGGATACCGCTAAATACATGATTAAATTAGTTTTGTATGAAAAAATGGATAGTGTCACGGCTAACGATTGAAAAAAAACTAATCCGATCAGATAGTTATCGATATCCGATCAAGGTGATTTTTTACAGGTATATAGAACTCGACGAGTTTTATACATTGACGGTTTAGAATATCAAAACGGGACTCGTGATGGCCCCCACGGACCGAACAACACTGTCCAATGCAATGCCTGAAAAGTAGGCAACCATTTCTTATCATCAATTCACTCCCCGACAGGACGGTCTACTGCCTACTGTCCTTTATCTTTTCCTACACACTAATTTATATAATCTTTTAATACACATTTTTTGATAAAAATTCAAAAAATTAACCCAAACAACTATATTTTTTTCCTCAACTTTTTAATTTAAAAAGTCAAAAAATATATTTATTTATGACACCCTAAACAACCCCTAAAACTATAATGATCAAATTGATCCCAATGACAAAGTATGAATATAATTTATCATATATATGCATATATAAATCATTTAAATAAGTTTGGGTGCTTTATCTATATGTGGTTTCATTGCATGGTGTTTTTGTTGGTTCAGCCTCCGTTTGGAAAGTGAGTTGGCTTTTTAATTTTTTGGCTTTTTAGCTATTTTATTCTGAACTATTTTAGCCTAGTTTGGAAAGAACTTTTTGACTTTTTGACTTTTTTGACTTTTTTTGTGAGAGAGAATTGTAATAATTATGGGTTGGATTTGATGTTTTGTTTTTTGTGGCTAAAATAGCCTATTTTGTTTTTTGTGGCTATTTTAACCAAAAAAACCTGGCTTTTTTCTTCCCAAACAGAGCCCAATAATAATGTTTATCCGAGTGAGTTTTATAGGACTAGAAACTTACCAAGTTCAAATATTTACTTTTCTAGCTAGAGTCAAATTATGAGATAGCATTGCCAAAGGCAACCAACATCTATAGTGAATAGCAACATATAACTTGGAGCTGCCTTAGCAACCCAATTGTAGTAGATTTATCTTGGATTAAATTGCCCAACTCATGCAAAAATGATGATTAATGAGTAAAGAATTCTATGATAAGGAACTCTATTAAAATTTATCCAAAAAATATTCATAATTTATAATCTAAGAACACGACTCATTGCCTCAGAATAATTTTAAATCTATATCATGGTACTTTTTTTTGTTAGAGAGCCCCCTCATTTGTATGCTTGCATTGTATTGTCTAATTTACAGATCAAAATTGATTACATTCAAAATTATACAGAATTAACATTTAAGGTTATGCATGATTATATACAAAATACTTTTTTTTAATTCTCTTTAACCTTATATCTCTTATCCAATAGACGTTTTATTTTACTAATACTGTTTTTGGTTGGAAAACTTAGGAATAGATTGGAAAAGGAAAAGGCAAAGGAAAAATGTAGGTGAAATGTGAATAAAATATGCATATATCTCCTATAGTTTCATATATTTTTTTCTTTTTTCTTTTGATTTTCAATCCCTTTTTAAATCCCTCAACTTTTTTCTCTTTTATTTTTTAAATTCTTCAATCAAGTACAACATATAAATATTTTTTTCAAAAAACTCTATTTATTTTGGTATGAACAGCAAACATGTCGGCCATGTAAATTTTTACTTGATATTGAGAATAATTTGCTTTATGATGATGGTCAGTAAGAGTCCGCTTTCAATTTTCGATACCATTTTTGAATGACATGGCAAGAAAAAGGGGGGCCAATGTTGATAGGGCTCTAGTTGAAGAGGCCTATTTTGGCTGCTTTAGGAATGTGTTGACTTTATTTTTTATTTTTTATTTATTGATTATAGAATAATTATAAATATAAAAAATATTTTATTATCAAATAAATTATTAGTTGATAATAGTAATTGTGTTTGTTTAGATAATAGTTGTTATTATAGGGATTGCTAAATTATTTTTATATAAAATAATAAAAAAATTAAACATTAATGTTTAAAAAAAATGCCCAACATGTAAAATTTTTTAAAAAAATAAAAAAAATTTAGAAAAAAATAAAACAAATAAAACAATGATTTTTATTTAACAAAAAATATAAAAAATTAAACACTAATGTTCAAAAAAAATGCCCAACATGTAAAAAATAAAAAAATAAAAAATTTCTAGTCTTTGGGACTATTATTCTAATACCATATCTACATCCTCCATCCCAATCCCTCTTTCAAGGCCTATCCTAATACCAGAGGATTAAGAGTCTTCTCCCCATCTCTCAAAATAAACACCCCACATAGTGGGTCCCACTTCACCATCAATCTCAATCCCTTCCCTACAACCCCAAACAAACAGGGCCTAAAAGATATCAAACTCCTTTTTATAGTAATTGAATTCGAAATCTCACATTACAGAGGGTGTTACACAACCATTAGGTTAAATGTCCTGATTTGTTTTAGTTTTTATAATAAAGGGTTTAAATGTTTTTTTAATGGTTAATGTTCTAGATTTTAAGCATATAGTTCAAATTTAATGTTGTTTAAGGAAAATGTTGCATAGTAATCACTACATAAGCATATAGAAACTACATTTTTACCAATAGTTTATAAAGTGTCTTCAAAATTACCCTACTTAGAATGTGAAAATTATTAAATTTCACCCATGTTTTAGAAGGCATTTAAAATTTGACATTCCCTTCCCCATTTTTTAATTCTTGGTTTTTATTTCCCCCTTTCTCTATTTCCTTTATAATTTAGTAAAAACTTTTCCATAAGATTTCAAAATAAAAATCACAACTCTATAACAATTGTGAGATGAACCATTGACTCAAAATCGAAAAAACAATTATTTGGTGAGTAACATTGTTGTATTAATTTTTTAAAAATAACGTGATAATTGTAAACATAAAACAGTTGATAGGCAAAATAAAATATATGCTTTATAGTAATATTTAAATAGGTAAAATGCCTACTACCGTTGGAGATGCTCTTAGAATGTGAAAATTATTAAATTTCACCCATGTTTTAGAAGGCATTTAAAATTTGACATTCCCTTCCCCATTTTTTAATTCTTGGTTTTTATTTCCCCCTTTCTCTATTTCCTTTATAATTTAGTAAAAACTTTTCCATAAGATTTCAAAATAAAAATCACAACTCTATAACAATTGTGAGATGAACCATTGACTCAAAATCGAAAAAACAATTATTTGGTGAGTAACATTGTTGTATTAATTTTTTAAAAATAACGTGATAATTGTCATGTAATGAATGGTATAAAAAATTGCTCAAAAACCTGTTAATTACCTCTCCTCAAAATTGATGGAGTTTCTTTTTTTTTTTCCTTTTTTTGTTTTTTGGTTTCACAAGCAATTTTTGTAATTTTTTAATAAATAAGGCCATATTTGATTTCATTTTTTAATTTTTTTTAAATTAAAAAAATAAATATCAAAAAGCTATTTTTAAATTTTTAAAAATTATTTTTACCCTCTCAAAAGATAAAATTATATAAAAATAGAGTATTAAGTATTTTTTATTTTTTTTCACCAAATTAATTTTCCACTTTTTTTTCTTCTAAATTTTAGAAAATTGAACAGAGTATTTGGTGGAGTAATAAAATTCCAAACTTTTGAAGTCCCAAACACCTGCACAAATTGATGTAATTATTAATTCTTGTGCCAAATGTGAACTCAAAATCAGTCCCTGACATTGCTTTCAATCCCTTCTGTTTCACTGTAAAATTTCAAACTGCCAAAAGGAAAGAAAAGAAGAACTGGTAGTATCAACATGACTAATCAAATCAATCTAATAACTAACAATGAAAAAATTAAAATCCCCAAAAGGAAAAGCAAAGAAAATCAAGAAAGGAAAATATGCTATTGTCATGTAATCCTGTTCAATTGATTAGTGGAGGAGTTGTTTAAAAGTACAAATCAAATCCCAAAGCAGAGCCTCAAAGAAAAAAGGAAAATGTAAAAGAGAAAAAAAGTAGAACTGCATGATCAAAAATGGGTTCTGTTCAGTCACCCTCGCCCCGACCAAAATCAATTCATTATCTTCACTTTTTCCGGGGAAAATATGACTTTCCTAGAAAATCACAGCAGGGCCTCTATGCTAGCTTTCTTTACCATCCCACAAACTGGGCAAGAATCCAAGAAAGGCTGGCAAGCATTGCATGAACAAAGGTGCCTACAAGGTAGGAAAACAACACACGAATTCCGAGAATTGCAGCTTTTGCAGACCAAGTTTCTCGTTCTCTGTTCTTGATTTTCTTGCTCATTTTCGAGTCCCCTGTTTTCCCCTGTTTTGTCCTCTCTCTCTCCTCTGTCAATCACATCACAGCAAGACTCTGCATCGTCAGCTCCATTGGCCAAACATGCATTTTCTCTGAGTTGTTCGATTGTGTTGCTCAGAGATTCAACTATGGCTTCGTTTTCTTTGGCCAACCTCTGCCATGTCTCGTTCTCGATCTCCATATTTCTCAAGAATTCTTCGAGCTCTGTTTTTCTGTTCATAGCTTTTGCAATTTCATCATCTTTTTGATTCAGCAAAACTCTACTCTTCGCTTCGCATTTCCTTAAAAGCAATGCGAGTTGTTGATTTCTCTGCTCTTGCAGAGCCAATCTCAATCTCTCATTCTGTAAATTAAAAATAAAAAATAAAAAACCCATAATCAGATCATTATATATAATAAAAAGCCAAATCAAATTGAAAAACACAGAAATCCAATCTATGAAGAATGCTCTGTTTTCTTACCTGTAAACTGATAAACCGATCAACCTCTTGTCTCTCCTTCTCAATCTGAACCGGAACAGCTATGCTCTGAGAAAAACTCATTGATTGATGATGATGATGATGATTGTTGGTTTTAGAAAACAACCCGTTGTTTTCAAAACACCGATTTTGTGTTTTCTGTTGTAGATTCAGCAATTGCTGTTGCTGTTGAAGATTGAAATAAGCATTGTCCATCCAATTCTGTGAACCTCCCAAAGAAAACCCAAAATTATCTGAATACAACTGCGCTTGAATCGCCATCATAAAGAGTTTTTTCACTTTCTCTCTGTATTGTAATGGCTTTTAAGAGACGTTTTGTTTTGGTATTTGGGTATTATTACTATATATTTGGTTTTTGGAAGCATAAAAAACAAAAGGTGGTGGTGGGGAGGTGTGCAGAGATATATTGAAAGTGACGTGAATTTTAATATAATGAGGGGTTGTTTGGTTGAATGATATTAAAAGTATGCTGAAAAAACTGAAAAGGAAAACAGAGGAGGTGGTGGTGGTGGTGGTTGTGGGGCCTAGGATTCTTTTTCTTTGTTTCTGTTTTTCTCTCTCACTTTCTTTCTCTTTCTCTCACGTACACATGCAGATTTTGTGACTAAACTATCGGGTCAGAGGTTTCAGAAGCGTTTGTTGTTGAATGAGATTTATATGAGGGAGAAAATTTTAATTCAATTCAATTCCAAGTGGGTGAGGTAAGGGTTTATCTGTATTTACATGTATGCATATATGTATGTGTTTGAGATAGATATAGAGAGAGATATAGAGAGAGAGGAGAGAGAGAGAGGAGAGAGAGGGTCTGTTTTGTTTTGTTTTGTTTTGATTTGTTTGGAGAGAGAAAAAGGGATAGAATCAAGAGGTTTGTCAGTTTTGTCATGTGGAAAGGCTGTACTGTGTTTAATTCTGAATTTTTTCTCTCTATTTTTAACATTAATTTTTTATTATATTAATTAGTTTTGTGTTTTAAGACGTTTTTACCCTTTCTTGAGCTATTATTTTCCTCCTAATTAAGGGTAGTTTTGACATTTCATTCACTTATAACAATCCTTTTAGGAAATTTTGAAAAAAGATAGGAAATTCACGTATACTAGTAATTATATAAAATGTATGTAAAAATAGAAATTATACAAAATTTATTAAAAATAAATATAAAATTTATATTATATAAAAATTTATATTATATAAAATTATATGTAAAAATTTATTAAAAGTAATTCTAACTATTTAGTTTCTTTTTTGTTCATTTAGAAAATAAAAATATGTAAAAATATAAATTATATATAATATATTAAAAAAATGAAATATAAATATGTTGTAATTGAATTATCATATAATAATTTTATACGAAATATATATATATTGAATTATAAGATTCACATAATAACATATAAACTTAAAAAGAAAAAATAATGAAAATATCTAAATGATAAATACATCTCAATGTGTAAAATTATTAATCAGCAAATCTAAACTTTAGAGATTCTTCGAGAGTATCATTGTTATACGAAAAAGGACAAATCTATAATTTCATATATGAAATCACTATAATAAAATTTAAACGACTAATATCTAATATAGAATAATATAGAATTTGTATTTTGGATAAAGAGTCCATATAATTTAAATTAGGTTTTAATTTTTGTATAATTTTATATGCAATTAAAAAATACATGCTGACATGATTCTTTTTTTTTTAAAAAAAAACAGTAAATCTTTATAGCACACTACTTTTAATAATATATCTATATAATAAATCAGAAAGGTTTTTGAAAATATACAAAATGTCTCACACATACATTTTGTTTGAATGACTCAGATCAATTCTTTTAAATGTCAATGGTTGAGATGACTTTCATTTCCGCCTAAACATTTGTTCCCCTCAGCCTTCCACCTACCCACGTCTCCTCCCCCATTCCCTCTTTTCTCTCTCTCTCTCCCCCTCTGTTCTTCTTCTTGAACAGAACCTTTTCCCTCTCTCTCTATCTCTCCCTTCAAAACTTTCCTCTGTTGCTCCCATCTCTTTCATACTTTCATACGCTACTCTCTCTCCCATACCCATCGTGACCACCGACCACCTCTCATTGCAACAACCACCGCCATTGCAACACCGACGACTGTTCACTTTTATTACCTTTGGAATGCAGATAATCATAGAGTTCGTGTCTTGACGCGATCTAGATCTAAAGCTCAAGTAATTTTTCTGGGTAAGAAGGTAATGATTACATTTGTCTGCATAAATCCTTACAAGATGTTAGTATAATGTCGTCGTAACAACATTAAATTTCTTTTCTATGCAGCACCATTAGTTTTCTTTGAAAATGTAAACATACCAAAGAATTTTTCGCTTTGATGAAGACGATACATCAGGATTCTGATTTCCGATCAACAGAGGCTTCAATATCAGTTTGAGAAGCTGCTTTTGTTGTTGAAGTCAAATCCAGAAGCATGTTTACAGGGGCAAAATACATGTGCAGCGACATCATGCAGATAATAATCCCCAAAAAGAGCTGCACATATACAAGGAAAAGGAATAGGTTATGTAAGATCAGTAATGTGAATAGCTACCTAGCAAAAATGATATAGTGGAGCAAAACTACATCTGAGTTGGGTATTCAAAATTTGTGAAATAAATATTCAAAATATGTGAATTTATGGCACTGATTTCTTTCTATGTGCTTTCTTGCCTTCTACATACATATGTTACTAAAAATCCTACTTGCATCAGCTCATCATTTGGTCGTCATCAGCCTTATTTTACCAAGTCATAGCTATTTTGATCTGGGTTCAACCCCTTTTTTTTTTCTTCCCTTTAAAGAATCATTGAACGTTGAACAACAATTTAATCAATCCATTGTGTTATGTACTTTTTATACAGCATTTACAGACACTTATTGCCTGACTGGATAATTTTTTAATTGATTTAATTTTATTAAATCCGATAATGCTCTTAGACATTTGAAAGTTTCCTTCTTAAATTAACTTCGTGAAACATTTATACAAACTAAATTGCTCTCATAAAAAGCATTTTTTTATAAAATATTGTAAGTTTATATACTTTTATTAATTTTTTTGTGTTAAAATTTATTAGATTATACGTATAAATTATGGAATTGAGATGCAGAATATTGGAATTGAGCAAAGGTGCAAAGGTGCAGAAATTGAGGATTTGGTAGTGGCTTTACTTGGCCTCTGCAATCTTCTAATGAAGGAAGGAAAAGCTATGGATGCTGAAAATCCCTTTATTAGGTAATTTGGCTGTCTGTATATTGTTTTGGGTGTAGATTTCAATATTTTTGTCTTTTATTTATTAATTTCTTTTTTGTTTTATATTCCATTCTGTGATGAATCTGTAGATTTCTTGACATATATGCAAAGTTATACGGGGAGAATAATGGAAGAGTTTTTGAATGGCTATGTGTTTGTTGGCCCATGTGAAATGTGCATAAGGTGAACTTCATATTCTTCATTGTATGCAAGTAGTTTTCTTCCTGATTTCATTTAAATTAGTAGGATCATGTTAACACCAGTATTTGTGTGGGGTCAAAAAGTTGCTCATTCTACTATGAGTGGATTGCGGTGAACTTTAAATTTAAAAGTTTATTCATAGATGGAGATCTATTTCAAGTTTTTGAGCGTGGGGTCATGTGCCATTTTCATACAGGGAATGCTAATGAAGGCAGTCAATTATATAGAAATGCTCTTCAGGTCCTTACAGATTCAAAATGTATGCCTTTGGATGACAACGTAATGGAAAAAATGATAGATTTACCAGAATTGCTGCATTTAGTGGGAAGGTATGCCTTTGTTTCAGTTCTGCCACTTTTCTAATTAAGAAACCTCTTTGTGCTCAGACTACAATAATTTAACTAGCTATGTTTGCATTTAACAAAATAAATTGATAGGTTGAGAAGTTTTATGGATGTTCTATTATCATGTGCGCATAATATCTTTTAATATCTTTTGATAGATTTGAGTTGACATGTTGATTTAGATGTTCTTAAGGCCTGTGATTGCTCTTCTACTGATTATGAAGTGCCTTTCTTTTTTTTTATTGGTTCCTTAGAGTTGTCTCTACTTACAGATCTGGGTTAATAACATTAAGTATTAAAATTCATTTGTGAGGATAGTTTGTAGTTTGTATATTTGAAGGTGTGATAATCTTGAACATGCTATTAGGTTATGAATTTGTTTGTTATTGGCTTAATAAGATGGATTGAAATTTGCAATCCATGCAGCACATGAATTTTTGGGAGATGGTTCATAGATTGAAATTACCATAAATAAGATGAATTTAATTCTTATTTCGGATAGATATTGAATTTAATATATAAAAAACCATATAATCGACCCAATCAACTTATTCATATGCATACAACTTGAAACATGTGTGTTTATTTTCTTAATTAATAACTTGAATTCAGCTTTAAACAATTGTCGCTAAAGGACTCCAAAGAAGCACTTTGAACATGTTTTTGAGGTTTGACATCCTTGAGTTTTATTACTTTGGGTTCAAGGTCTGAAAGAATTTAATTGGGTGTATGAATATTATATAGATATGGTTTGCGTGAACTCCTCATTATGGTCTTGCTTTGTAAGTTATTCATATGTAGGTATGGTTTGGCTGATGGTTGTTCATTATATATATAGTTATTCATGTGTAGGTATGGTTTGGTTGATGGTTGTTCATTATATATATAGTTATTCATGTGTAGGTATGGTTTGGTTGATGGTTGTTCATTATATATATAGTTATTCATGTGTAGGTATGGTTTGGTTGATGGTTGTTCATTATATATATAGTTATTCATGTGTAGGTATGGTTTGGTTGATGGTTGTTCATTATATATATAGTTATTCATGTGTAGGTATGGTTTGGTTGATGGTTGTTCATTATATATATAGTTATTCATGTGTAGGTATGGTTTGGTTGATGGTTGTTCATTATATATATAGTTATTCATGTGTAGGTATGGTTTGGTTGATGGTTGTTCATTATATATATAGTTATTCATGTGTAGGTATGGTTTGGTTGATGGTTGTTCATTATATATATAGTTATTCATGTGTAGGTATGGTTTGGTTGATGGTTGTTCATTATATATATAGTTATTCATGTGTAGGTATGGTTTGGTTGATGGTTGTTCATTATATATATAGTTATTCATGTGTAGGTATGGTTTGGTTGATGGTTGTTCATTATATATATAGTTATTCATGTGTAGGTATGGTTTGGTTGATGGTTGTTCATTATATATATAGTTATTCATGTGTAGGTATGGTTTGGTTGATGGTTGTTCATTATATATATAGTTATTCATGTGTAGGTATGGTTTGGTTGATGGTTGTTCATTATATATATAGTTATTCATGTGTAGGTATGGTTTGGTTGATGGTTGTTCATTATATATATAGTTATTCATGTGTAGGTATGGTTTGGTTGATGGTTGTTCATTATATATATAGTTATTCATGTGTAGGTATGGTTTGGCTGATGGTTGTTCATTATATATATAGGTATGGCTGATGTCTGATGCTTCTTTTCTTTTTCTTTTTTTTTTTTCCATTACCAAGTGTCTCATTTGTCTAATAACAAATATCAAGTTTTTTTCTTTCATTACCAACTGTTTAAATTGCTGATTAAACAGTTTTTTTTTTGGGTCATAAAATTATGTTTGGACTTTCTAAATGATAATCATAAATTTAATTTGAAGACTACAAAATTGAAGTCAGTTGGGGAAGAGAAGAGTTCAAATTTGGACAATTGTTGTGCTCCCATTTTAATACCCTTTATGTTGGTAGGGCTGATTTTAATTTTATCATTTTAATGTAATTGTTAAAATACATCATTCAACCGTCATAATTATATAACCAAATATTTTCAGGCTGAAGCACAATAGGTATGGACAATATCACTATTTTCGGTCAAGTTTTTTTCTTTTCTTTTCTCCCCTCCATATAAATTTAAATACCTCTCTTATAATGTAAGGTCTATTTATTTAAAATAAAGCTTATTTATTTATTTATTTATTTATTTTAAACTTATCATATCTAATTTTCTTCTAATAAATGCTTTAAACAACTACTTTATAGGTGGATGAAGACTTACACCGAATGGTAATATCAAGAAAGAAATGATTTTTTTTTTCTTATTTATCTGTACAAAGTTTTATTTATCACTCTAAAGTTTTTGTATATATAGATTCAATTTCTTCAACAAAGAAATGTTAATGTTGTTCACGATGAACGTGACCTTAATACTATTCGTATTCATGAGGTAAGCCTAAAAGTAACTAATATACGAATGCATTTTCTTATCATTTTGTATATTATTTATAAATAGATTCTACTTATTTTTTTATAAGCAAAGGGAAAGGAGAAACACAAAGCAATATCAAAGGAGACAGAAAGGCTATGCCTTCTGACAAAGGAAATGAACATGCAAATCCTGTGGTATGGTTTCTTAACATTTTTAAAAAGTTTGTTTTCCAAATATTTATTAAATTTTTGTTTTTATATAGATTTTTTTTTTAAGAATTGCATAGTGTCATATTGTAACGCCCTCAAATTAATACATAAAGCCATCATTTAGACATGCAGTGATATAAGAAATTCAACCCCTTTACATTTATCAGAGTAGTTCTTAGAATAGTATTACATGTTAACAACAAAAGCAAATGCCCTACGGGCTTACAGCTTTCCAAGTCAACACTTGGTTACAAAAGAAAAGAGTGCTTACTCAAATACATATTAAGCCATTGGCTTGAATTTACATGTAATACATCAAAGAAAACCAAACAACAAAAAGGTCTGTCTGCCTCTAGCCTCCCAAGTTATGACCTTGGAGGTGGCATGCTACCTGTACTTGAAAATAATGTCCCACATAGGGTGAGCCAACGCCCAATAGAGATATGTTAAACACAATATGAGCAGTAACTAAAACATTGGCAATCGATAAATGTTTGACTCACAAAAACAATTCATAAACCATTTCCCTTACATGACAACTGTATCCCTGTTTCATCTCATTTTTCATTTCTTATCTATTCCACAATCCACAACTAGGACTCAGAACTTGGCCAAATAATGTCTATGAGGTAGTAACTCATATTAAATATTTCCCATTTCACACTAGGTAAGCATACTAGCAGTATCAACATTTCAACAGATAAGCATATGAGCTATATCAACATTTAAACAGATAAGCATATTAGCTATATCAACACTTAAATTTAGATAAGCATATGAGTTGTATCTACACATCGGTTTAGATAAGCATATGAACTGTATCTACACTTCGGTTTAGAGGTCCAGCCCCTTAATTTCATCAATACACATATTGGTTTTTATGTGACTAACAACTCAACCGAGCAAATAAGAAAAGTTAGTTAAACTTTTAAGAATAAATACATGATAAAAGGAAAGCAAGAGAGGGGATAATTTTCACATTTTATGCACCTAATTATATAATATTCTCATTTTAGGCACACAATGATAATGTGCTATTAAAAACTGCATTGACTCAACATGTACGGCGAGAACGTGAAAAAAAACAAAACCCATGTTCTGCATACCAATTAGGACAGCCCCTGCGACGAGAACGAGAGAAATCAAAGAAATGTATCAATCCAAGACAACCTTCTTTAACACCCAATTGGTAAACAACTCTGTTAAATATATTTTTATAACTGTATTTTAATCTTAATATTATTTACACCGTGCCTTTAGGCACGGGTATACGCTAGTACTTAAACATGGAAAAAAGAAAATAGTATTTTTAATATAATATAATTTACCACCGAGGGTGGTGGCCTAATAGAGAAGGCATCATTCTCCTTCTCCATAGGTGTGACTCAGGTTCGACTCCTAGGGGGGAGTGAAATACTAGTCTTTCTAGTGGCTCACTCCGGTGATCTCACTCTGTATTCTGATCGAAACTTGGATTCGTCTGTGGCGTATGGTTAAACTCCGCTGGTGTCTCAGTGGTGGGTCCCTTCTTATAAGTTGAGTTAAATTAGGCTGGCAACCAACTATTCCGAAATCTGGGCCTACGGATGCTGTGATGACACTTCAAAACATTCTTTTTTTCTAATCAAAAAATAAAAAATAATATAATTTAACTAATGATTTTGTTCTAATTTTACCACATAATATAATTTAACTACTTAAGTTTAAAAACGTAAAGCAAAATTATCTTAAAATACCGTATTCTTAATATTACACTCTAAACATTATTTAACTTTAACTTTCAATTTTGAACCCTTTGATTAACACAACAAAATCATTTATATAGATATAAATCTTCGACTCTTATTAATAACCTAAATTACCAATTCAAACCTCTTGCAAATGTTATAAGAGAATTAAATAAAATAAAATAAAATTATAAGATGTCTAATATGCCACGTCATTGCCCCCCCCCCCCCTCTCTAATATGCCACATCATTGGCCCCTCTCTCTCTCTCTTTCTCTCTCTCTAATACGCCACATCATTGGCCCCTCTCTGTCTCTCTCTCAATGCCTTGCAAGTTCTTTAACGTAACTGAAAGACATATGAGATAAGCATGAACAACCAAACGAGCTTGATACAATTGACTAAAGGAAAGGGCAGCCCCATCTTCATCATCAATATATAATATTAGATCCGACATTAATGGCAATTTTATGTTTCTTAACCATATTAGGAGATCCCTTGATCACGACTTTGTATGAGCAAGATGTCAAAATAACAATAAAAAAAAATTCTCAATTTCTTAAAGTACCAAAAAAACATGATAACCGAGTTTATTTGGTAGCTAGGTATAGTTAAGAAACATGACATTGCCATTAATATTGCTATTAATGCACAGCATTGCAAGTTATTGCTTAATGGCCTTTGCCTTCCTTCCTCATAGGGTCACATAACCTTTATTAATTATAAATATATATGTTCTTTATTATTTTTTAAACATCTAACAAGATGTCTCATATGACCTTCTATCAATCACAATAATAGAAGGTACTGCACGAATATACATACCCTATTTGATACAAATCTCTCTCCTTCTCTAGGCCATGTTTGCTTGGATAAATATAACCTTCGAATTGAATTACTAATCAACAAAATACATAATTTAATGTTTTGCTAAGAAAATTAAAATTTGGACTAATAGTCCATCACAATATGATATAAAATTAAAACCTATTGAATCTCGAAAAAAGGTATGAGATAAAATGGAGGACTAAGAAAAGATTCAAACTAGTTAGTTAAAAAAAAATAAACACCGCTTAATTAATACACATTAA